GATGAAAATAGAAAATCATATAATAATGTAAATAGGACATTTGGATTACTAGATAATATTTGCTTGTTGTACTAATTAAAAATTTAAAAATTCCTTTTAATTAAACGTGTAGTATTTACCATAAATGACAAAAAAGTAAAAAAGTAGTAAAAATAATCTATCTTTTGAAAATCTACTTGTGATTGGGGTATTTTCGAAAAAAACCCAAAAATTATGAGACCCAGTATCTATAGCCAAAACACTTCATATATTAATTTATATAAAAAGTATTTTTTAAGGTAAATATAGGTAATAAGATAGAATACATTTAATCCATATTTTTTCATTTTTTTATTGTTTTTTTTGAGATTTTTTTTTACTCATTTTTTTTTAAAAAAAAATTCTACTTGACCAAACCGACCAGGTTAGATTCCAGCCCTATATCTAATTAACCATTCCAGATAAATTTTTCAAACATTGGTTTAAAGTTATCAAAATTAAGATATGCTACAGCAGCTCAAATACGCCCTTTATAAAGGACCCGGTTTCTATGCGGGCAAGCCTGCGTATGTAGAAATGCTAGCCTCTTAATAAATCTATTTTTGAGCTTAAGGATATGTAATCTCTAACATGGAGATCATGAATATGAAAAAATAAATAAATTTTAAAAACAAAAAATAATAATTGTAATAAGAAAATATTTGGATCGCTAGTTTCCTTTATTTTTTGATAGGACACTTGCTTGCATTTATCTTTAAGATGGATGCTTTACACTTTCTGGACAACAAATGTAGAAATGCGGTTCAGCCTGCATGAAATAATTTTTCCTGAATAAACTAAATATCAATACGTTCTTGCGTAGGTATAATATTCTGGACTGGATATAATTGAAGTCTTTTTTGGTCAAACTGGCCAATTTTGCTGCTAACCAGACCGGTTAGTAGATGTAACAGGTTTTATAGACAAATAACGGTATAGTTAAAATAACGCCCGTTATTTTCAATTGAAACCGTTATTTGATGCAGGATTTTATATGACGATTTTTTCCAGCTTTTTTTACTCTTTTTCCTGTCATTTTTCTTGCTTTATGGAAGTAAAACACTATTTATTGTCTGTAAAACAAGAAAATTCGAATCAAAGATTGAAAAATCAAGAGATTTTGTGGATTGAAATGGCAAAATTTCATGCCTTTTAAAATTTCCGCCATTTCATCAATACTATCTTTAATAGCCAATGGTTTTGCTGAAATTTGAGGGTTTTTAATCGTAATTGAAACATCTACCATACCTCTTTCAATTTGTTAAAAGAACAAAAGATTGGGGGTTGATTTTGGCCAGAAAGCTGATGCTCGAAGAACTTGTGTTTGATCCAAAAAAAGAAATTGATTTATGTATTTTGATCATCAAGGCTTCATCTATCACATAAAATAGGTATGCTTATTTGTTATTGAGTAAATTTTTTTACATGAATTTTTTTCTTGCTCGATTACACATATCTGAATTTTTCACGATATTTCAATTAAATAAAAAATACTGAATATTTTTTTATAACTTTTGGTGCATTTGGAAGGGTGATCGAAGCTTTTATAGTGCTTGTGTGTTGATTTGTTTGATTATCCGAACATTGAGAGTCATTTCTTGCTTGAAATGTTGATCGATTTTAGGAGTTTTTGAGAAATCGATTTTTTTTTTTAAAAAAAAAAAATTTATTTTGCTTAATAAAATGACTATTTTTGTTGAATATGGGAAGTGTTTTTTTATTTTTCTTAATAAAATAATATTTTTTGATAAAATTATTTATTTTGATAAAAATATATTGTTTTGATTAATATGACAACCTATATGTATCGACCTCTTGACCTTGGGATACCTTGTCTTTTACAGATGAAATTTTAGATGGACATATAAAAGTTGGTGGATTAATTTCTTTTCCATTGTTTCTAACTGTAATTAGGAGTATTTTAAAGTGTTGTAAAACTTGTCCAATTGTGATTAGCAGTATTTTGAAGTGTTGTAAGACTTGAAATACTTATATTTTTTATTAACATAGACTAATGTAATGTTTCTATCTAGCTGCAACACCTAAATATCTAGAGTGTATATTTACACTTGGGTAATACATTTGTGGTAATGTGCTGTAAATTTATTATCAAACTTCATACTAGGAAACAAAAAGATTTATGTGACTTGCTTGGGATCATGTACATGACTATAGTATTCAAATATTCAAATATTAATTTATATAAAAAGTTGTTTTAATTATTATTTTTACAAGATAAATGTATGTAGTAAGATATTATACACTTAATCTAAGTTTTTCTATTTTTATTTTTATTGAAGGTTTTTGACCCATTTAAAAAAAAAAAAATTCTATTGGACCGGTTCGTACCATTACCTGCCACAGTTAGTCCAATACTCCAGTTCTAGTTCTAACCGCTCCCAGCCCATGTCTAACAGTTCCATTTTGTGATAAGAGGGCTGACAATTGGCCGACAAGGAGAGAGAAACTTACTGATTTGAAGTAGCGAGAGATTGTGCAATAACCTATACAGGTGTGTTGGATAACCGAAAGTTATTTTCTAAAAGCATAAACTTGCCTGTTAGTATAGCTTTTTTGTATTTGATAAAAATTGATAAGTTTAAAATAAAAAATTATTGTTATGGCATAACTTCCCCTCAACATTTCCGACTAAATCTACCAAATCGAAAATACAAGATTAGAAGGGAAGTTCATTTCCTTGAAAAGGCCATCCCACCCGCGTGAAAATGCCCGTTTCAGAGAAAAACTACCATAGCCACTCCCACCCGCGTGAAAAAGCCCGTTTCAGAGAAAAACTACCATAGCTGCTTCCTCTTGACAGCCCTAGTCGCTTCCTCACTCTAACCGCCATAGCCGCAGGCTTTCTTAGCTCGCTCTCTCTCTGACAAAGCTCTCTCTATCTTCTCTATCTCTCTCTTAAGAAGAATGCATCTGTCTCTGGGTCTGTCTCTCACTCTCTCATATGTAGCAAAAGAGGAAGAATTCTCTTAAGAAGAACGTTGTGTCTGTCTCTCACTCTCTCATATGTAGCAAAAGAGAAAGAAAGAAGCAGGTGCCCCTCCAAGGTATGATCTCTCTCTCTCTCTAGAGATTCAAGTACAATGGATTGTATTCCCTCTTATTAATTGTGGACTTCGTTCTAAAGAGAGAGGAAAAAAGATTACAGAGAGAGATGATATGTTGGGTATGGTTTTGATTTGTATGGTAACAACTGCTATCATTTGGCTCTTCTTCAAGTTTGCAAAGGCAGATGGCACCCTACTGCTTCTTTTTTCCTAATTTTTTATCTGTTTTTTTTTTTATTGTATATATAAATTTCTTTAAACTTTTTTTTGTTTCTGAATCCTCTGAGAGTGCAAGATAGACGTTTTTCAGATATTTGGGATTTCCAAGTCTTCTGTATAAATAAGAGAATTTTTGCTGGCTAGTTCATTTGAACTGAATTTATTTTTCTTGAAAATAGTGATGTTATATGGTTGAAAACATGGGTTTTCATTGAGGTGATTTGCAGGGGATTTCACACTACTACACTACTGGTAAAAGGAGCAGCTAAGTGCAAGAAAGTTGAAGCTAAGGTGGGTTTTTTTCTCTTTTTCCATTTATCTGATTTTTTAGAGAGAGAGAGAGAGAGAGAGAGAGAGAGAGAGAGAGAGAGAGAGAGTCGGACTTAAGTTTTAATTAGTTAGGTTACTTTTACTTACCTTAGTTAGTTAGTTAGGTTGGTTCGTTAGGTATTAACGTAAGGTCGTACGT